AAGAGTCAAATGAAGGATGAGTCCTGTGTTTTGACCTTGGCAGCTAGATGGTGGTGCTGTTTACTGAGATGGGAAAAATGGGGTCATAACAATTTGGTGTGTGTGTGTTGGGGTGGATGTTTCTGTGGAGTTGTCGAGGAGCCAGTTGGATATATTCAATGATGCATTGTTAGTTTGAGACTTTCCCAGATAAATGTATTTTTAACTATGTTTAACTACGGACTGAGATCCTATGAGACAATTTAGAGCAGCAGTCCCCAACCTCTTTGGCACCAGGGATGGCTGCTGCTATGAGAATCTAATGTCAGATGATCTGAGGTGCAGCTGAGGTGGTGATGCTGGCACTGGGAAGCGGCTGCAAACAGATGAAGCTTTGCTTGCCTACTGCTCACCTCCTATGTGGCCCGGTTCCTAACAGGCCATGGACCGGTGCCAGTCCATGGCCCAGGGGTTGGGGGCCCCTGACTTAGAGAGCTTATAGATAAAGGGGAAAACCCAGGACTGAGCCAGGGCACTCCCAACATTTAAGTGTCTACGGAGGAGAAGGACCTAGTAAGGGACCGAAGTGTGGCTGATGAGAAAAGAGAAAAACTCAATGTTGTCTCTAGCCCCGCCCTCAACTTCCGTCTCCTAGGCCCGTGGCTCCTCGGTATGTTTCCCAGTTTGCCATCTTTTTGATCTGCAGTGTCCGAGTGCTGTTTTGGAGTGATTAAGTATTTTGGTATAAAAGATCTTTCTAGAAAGGTTAAGTAACTTTACTGTTCACAGTAAGGATAATGTGCCAGCATATTTTTGAAACTTGGCTTTAGTTAGCTTAATATTCTGTTGTTTTTTTTTTTAAGGTTAATATTCTCTGTTCTTTAGAGTCAGTAATTTGAGGGGAAAAAAGTTTCATATGGCATTCATTATTCGTAGGGTTTGAAAGCACAAACTACATCTTTCATGGTTGTAAACTGATGGAAGTAACATTTAGAACATGATTGCAGTAAATACACTGTGGTAGGTTACCTGAATGCTCCTTTCTTTTACCAGGTTCAGTGAGGATTCTGGCTCGCTTGGTAGTGTAACCTACCCTAACTCAGGCCCATCCTGGTTCACTTATCATTCGAGTTGTCAGCATACCTGGGGCATAAGTGCTTGAAATTCTCCCTTCACTCCCCTTCTGTGTAGTAACCTGTTTGCATGGCTGCATATGAGATCTTATCCTTATCCTGAATGGTGCCACCTCTGAATTCTTTTTTTTTTTTTTAATCACCTAAGATCTTGTTAAAATGCAGGCTTTGATTCCGCAGGCCTGAATGGGGCCTGAGACTCTACATTTCTAACCAGCTCTCAAGAGAAGCCTATACCGCCGGTCCTGGGACCACACTCTGAGGTGCAAGGCCATTATGGGCCTCTGTGAGAATTCATTATAGGTTGCTGCGTCACAGGGTATGCGTTGAACTAATCTGATAAATATTGCCCATCTGCTCTCCAGTCTGGCTGCACCACCTTCCCCCATACAGCAGAGGAGAGTGGAAGGTATATATTTATGTGGGGAAGGGATCCTCTGAATTCTTAAAATTCACTCTGCCGACCCAGCCTCATTCCACCCTGGCTACCTTGTCACTTCCTCCAAACCTAATTCTCAGCATCGCCAAGACCTCTAGTTCCTTGATGTTTTCTGTTACCTGGCTTATTAGGCCTTCACCCTAATGATTCCATGGTTAATCATTTAAGCCCAAGTCTTGCCTTCGATACCCTGGTTTTCTATCATCATCTTTGTTAATCTGCAACCCCACAGAAGCCTTTGTAGTGCTGGGCCGGACTTTTTGATCAAAGGGTTAGTCATTCCCATCACTTTATTAGAACCTGGAAGTTATCAGCACTGCCTGCACTCACGGTGTTGTGTTTCAGTCCTTTTTTGTCCCCAGCTTCGTTTTTCCAATCTCAGTAGCTATTCTTAAGCTTTCCCCCATTTCTTTTTTTGCTTTTTCTTTTCCTCCTATTTTTAATACCCAAAGCCCACCTCCTTCCTATTTGCTCAGAAAACAGTGTTATGGAATGTGAACCTCTTTAGCTTCGGTCCATTTTCTCTGTAGCCCGCCCCCATCCTCTAGGGAAGAAGGGTCATTCTGCTTTGTCAGCTGTCATCTCCCTGAGTTTTCGAACTTGGACCCTCATTCTTTAAAAACAAAAAAGCGAGCCTATATTGCTTTTATAGTTGCAAGAAAAGTTCAAATAAGTACAACATGAAAAATAAAAAAAATGAGAATATGCATGGCAGGACCGCTTAGCTTATATTCTCTTCTTAGTCTGATAGCCTGATCAGCTTTCCTAGGCATATATTCTTCGTTCTCTTTACATTCTATTGTTTTGAGGGCTGTTCTAGTCTTTGTTAAAGTGTACCGTGGTCAGATCGAGATGCAGCATGGTGGGACGCTCATGGAGTCCCAGGGACTGTGACTTTGGGTGGATACTTAAACCCTGTGGGTCCAAGGTAAAATGGGAGAAACCAAGTACTTCTTTAAAATCACCATAGCTTCAAGTGAGATAATACATAAGAGGAGAAATTAAAAAAATAATTTTCCTCCACTTTTATTTCTAGCAACATATGTCCTTCACTTAACTGCATTTAAAAAAAATTTGCTTCTTTAATTTTCTCACCATCCTCTCTCCAAGCTCTTGACTCTTCACTGAAACCGAATCCGCTTGGCCTCTCCTGGCAGGCACCCCGTTTGGTGTGTTCACTGTTCTCGCCTTCTTTCCTGGCTTCCCTTCCTGGCTCCTTTCACCTCTTTCTCTCCTTTCATGCCTATGTTCCCCATGGTTCAGCCTCAGGCTTTTGTGGCCTTTTGGGTGATCACATCCGTTCCCACTTCACTGGTTTCTTCCCTGCTGGAGTCTCATTCTGTATCTCTAGGTCGAGGGCTGGAGGTCAGATACTAATTGTTAATCAGCTCTGCCAGTTCATCCTTCGGGCACCTCAGATTCATTGAGCCCAAATCTCAGCGCTCTGTCCCTGAGTCTGCCGCTTCCCTTTTCCAAGGGCGTGTCAGCCATGGCAGTCATGCCTCCGAGTCCCTTTTATTTTCCAGTACTGCGCCCTGTCCATTCCGTCCTGTTGGTCCCTCCTATGCTTTTTCTTGTCGTGACTGTCTCTCACACAGCCCCCTTCAGGCCCCTGCTCCCCTCTTGGCCTTGGCCTCCATCATTTCTGCTCCGGGTCACAGCAGCAGCCTCCTGGTTGCCTGTCTACCTTCTTCCATCCTGGTCTCACTTTGTTGCCGGTGTCTTTTTAAAACATCTGTCTGTTTACCTACATTCTGGTGCTTCCCATTCCACCAGAATGAAGTGCAGAATCCAGACTCCTCAGTGTGGCATTTAGAGTGCTCTGCTTTGGACCCCAGTCTGTCCTTGGTCACATTTCCCTTCCCTCTCCCCTCCCTCCTTTGCCCGGAGCGTGAGGCCCTTGGGCACACTGTACTCCCTTTCCTTTCTCTGCACCTTCTCACACTGTTTCCTCCTGTCCTTATCTTGCTTGTCCATCAGGGCCCACCATGCTGTCTTCTTTACTGACACTTTCTGGTTTCTGCAGACAGAATTAGCTGTTGTCATCGCTCCCCGTCATCACACTTTGCTCCTAATTTGGGGATGACACTTAGCACATTATTTACAAGGCTGATTCCCAACTCTGCCTGTTTGTGAGCTCCTGTGGGAAGAAGGTCATATCTGTGGTTGCACATCCTTGGGCCTTGCAGAGTATGGTGCTTGGAGCGCCCTTGCCCCCATGTTTAAATTAAATGGATCTCTCACACAGCTAGTGTTTGCTTCATATGCTGCTTCTGTGTGTGAAGCAGAGATTTGCTTATTTCTGTTTTATAGGTCATCAGTGGGTGTGTGAATAGTAAAACAACGATGAGTTTAACCAGCACTTTAATATAAACATGAATACCAGACTCTAGGGTAGACTTTCTTTTCATTGTCAGAGTGAAATAATTGTATCTTGATTTTTTTGTAGTAACTGTTCACCAAAGAAAGAATACAGACGTCTTTTTGCTTGCTTACTTGTTTTCAGTTTGTGAGAAATAAATTTTCTGTTTATAGCCGAGGAAAAGGTAAAGGGAAGAGATTAAGACACTTACCTGAAGATACAGTTAAAAGTAAATTCAAGGCAGGGTCTTGACTCCTGAATGCAGTTCCTCTAGGAAAGAAGCTGTTTGGGTAGCTTTATGCTTTCACACCTGCCACACGGACCTGTGCTGGTTATTTTTGTTCTTATTCATTTTTTTGTTGTTGTTGAGGCAGAGTCGATATACAATGAAGTGCACAATTTTAAGTGTGTAATGTAGTTCATTGCTTTGGGTTTTTTTTTAAACAGCACATTGAACTTTGCTCTGACAAACGTATATACGCCACTTTCCCATCTGGATATAGGGCATTTCCATCAACTCAGAAAGTACCTTGGGCTCTTGTCACTCATTCCCCCTTGTGTTCAAACTCCTGTTCTGTTTCTTTGAAAACAGTTTTGTCTGGTTTAGGGTGCCATATAGATGCATTCAGACTGTACATCTTCTGCGTCTGGTTTCTATTGCTTAGCATATCTTTGTGATTTATCTATGTTATTGCATGTATCAGTAATTTTTTTTTGCCTTTTTTTGCTGAGAAGTATGCCATTGTATGAATATACCATAGTTTGTTTAATTCATCTCCTGGTGATGGACATTTGGGTTTCTGGTTTGGGGACTATTATGAATAAAGCTTCTGTGTTCAGTTTTATACTTGTGTTCTTATTCATTTTTCTTGTGTAAATACCTAGAAGTAGAATTGCGGAGTCATAGGGTAGGTGTTTGTTTAACTTTGAGAGAAAGTGCCAGACTGCCTTCTGAACTGGTTGCTGTATTGAGTACTTTTTAAAATTTATAAACGCAATTGGGTTTTGGTCTCCTTATAGAGATTCCACTGCAGACCTAGTGCCTGCAACTGGCAGTCCTGTACTTTGCAAGGCCAGTTTTATTTTAAAACATCGCTAACATAACCTCATTTGAAAATAGTCAGAATATTCAAAATGAACGTGCATAAAATGTTGAGTTATTAAGGCATAATTAGGCATTAGTTCAGAATCTCATCTGGCATTTAAAGGGGTTGGCTATTGCATAGATATTTGAATAAAGTTACCATATATAAATATCATATTTAAAAAGTCACCACTATTAGTTTAAGCAGCTTGACATTCAAGACCACGTTTGTTATTAACAAGTTCAGAAGGGACTCAGAGCTGGAAATACGTTAGGGTGGTACCGGGGATGGAGCGGGAGGCTGTCCAGGTAAGAGCAGAGGGAGAGCCGAGTCCTGAGGAGACCTGCGGTGGTGGGGTGCGCAGGGGAGGCCGACAGCAGAGCCTAGCTTAGGCGGAGGTGTAGTGAGCCTGAGACAGGAAACACTGAGTGCCTCTGGGTTCCCGGGAGGAACACCAGAATCTGTTGGTGGAGACCAGGGAAACATACCCTCCATGCCTCTTGATCCCCCTGCCCCCTATCCCTTCACCCTCTTCCACGCCAGCCTCCTGGTGTCTGAGTCAGGGGTCTTGGTTTCAGAAAACAGATACCAGATTTTTGTTTCCAGTTAAAGAATGGGCAGAGGACCTGAACAGATATTTTTCCTAAGAAGACATACAGCTGGCCAACTGTATGTGAAAAGATATATGAAAAGATGATCAGCTTTGAAATGCAAATCAAAACCACAAGGAGATACCACTTCGTACCTATTAGAATGGCAGTTTCAATAAGATAAGAAATGACAGGTGTTGGAGAGGTTGTGAAGGAAGGGGAATCCTCATACACTGCTGGTGGCAATGCAGCCACTGTGGAAAACAGTATGGAGGTTTCTCAAAAAGTTAAGAATAGAACTATCATATGACCTGGCAATCCCTCTCCTGGGTATCCACCCGAAAATTTTGAATATACTTATTTGTAAAGATCCATGTACTCGTATGTTCATTGTAGCTAGCATAAATCACAATAGCCACACCTAAGTGTCCTTGGACAGATAATTGGATAAAGATGTAGTACATATCACATATCACAGTGTAATATTACTGAGCCATAAAAAGATGAAATATTGACTATTTGTAACAACATGGTAGGTCTTGAGAATATCATGGTAAGGTGCAATGTCAGAAAAGGACAAGAACCATATGATTTCACTCATATGTCGGATATAAAATAAAAAACAATAAATGAATAAACAAAGCAAATTCATAGTTTGGTTATCAGAGGGGAAGAGAGTTGGGGGAAAATGAAGAGGGTAAAGGAGTCAAATATATGGTGATGGAAGGAGACTAGACTTTGGGTGGTGAGCACACAATGCAATATATAGATAGTGTGTTATAGAATTGTACACCTGAACTTATGTTATTAAGCAATGTCACCCCAATACATTTTAAAAAAGAAAAAAAACATAGACGCCAACTGAGGGTTTGCTTTAGCAGAAAGATAATATATATTGGAAAGATCCTGGATAACAACAGGGTGGACAGGCACCAGGCAGCAGAATGGAAGCCAAGCTCTGCAGGAAGGATGTTTGTTCAGCGGCTGCCTCTGCCAGACCTCCTGTTGTTTGGAGGATGGACCTCCCGGACTGGTCCTCTAATCTTGCTTTATTTTCTCTCCTAGGGTCTTTCTCTTTGCCCTTCAGTTCTCCTTTCTGGGAGATTTCCTCACTCTCTCATCCATTCCTATTTTTAAGATTTCAACATTCTACTGTCATATTTTTATTTTTCAGTAAGTAGGAAGTCTTCATAATGTTCCTCTTTTTGTTTCACAGACCCAATTTCTTAGTTCTTTTTAAGCTCTCTGTGCATCGTGCTTCCTCTGAATTTCTTCCCCTCTCCCCGCACTTCTTTTTGGGGCTTTGTCCTTCATAGGACCTGTTTTGGGCTTTCTTCAGAACACCTGAGTATTCGCTGTTCTTTCATATTTAAGAATGAGATGTGCCAAGCACTCAGAGCCTCTGTGTCCATGGTAGGGTGTCCTCTGGTGGCCATCGTCTTAGGAAACTGTCACAGTGAATCTGACCTCTTTGTTGGGGTTTCCCCACATCTTGGTATCTTTTCTCTTGGGCCAGATGAGCGCTTCTAGAGAGGCTGTCTCTTCACCCACCTGCCAGCGAGCATGGTGGGAGATGCGGACTGGGACTTTCTTCATTCAGCAGGCGGCCCTCCCTCCCTCTGTCCAGCACCTCTCACCCCTCGGTCTCACCCTCTCTCTCTTCTCTGTTATTCCTTTCCCGTGGCTGGTAAAACAGTTGTTGACTGTTGAAATGCAGGCTGGTCGGATTTGGTCTGGATTATCCCCCAGGGATCTTTCTCCAGGGATTTTGGGTTAAAGATTTGTATTTAACACTGTGGCTAAAATAACAGGAGGGTAAAATGGACAGACTTAAATTCCTTAAATTTCAGGACTGTCAGTCAGTTTACTAGTAATGAAAACTTAGAGGAGTCATGATTCATAGTTAAGGATAGTTCTCAATAACAACTTTATGTGTAAAATGTTATTTTGGCTTTATATGCTCCAAAGATCAATCATACTCTAAGAAATTACATGCTTTTCTATCATAAAATAAGTAACTTGTCTAATCAACTTTTCTTGGCTTTCAGATCCTATCACATAAGACAGTATGCATCTTAAGATCCTGAGGAAAAGGCGCAAAATGTTCAAGTAATGTTTCAAAATAATTTGTGAGGTAAGAGTGTGGTTCTTTGGGTGTATAATCACTATTTTCTTTCTGACAGCTGACACCAGTGGTATACTATTGAAAAGGCAATACAGGCAGTATAAATGGTTAACAGCGGCACGGAAATCATCCCACTTGTCGCTGGTTTACTTACCCACCTCTCCTACAAGGGGAGTGTATCTCGGGACGGGGAGTCCAGGAAGTGGACTGATAGGTTATTAGCAAGTATTACAAGATGAGGTGAATGCTCAAGTGTGAGTGTAATGGAAAGTTTTTGCTTGTGTGGTTGTCCCTTTTAATGAGATCTGCAATGTAGCTTTTAGTGTTCTGGGAAACGGGGCTTTATTTAACATAAGGACAGACAGCTCAGGTTCAGGAGCGTAGACAAAAATCCCATTAAATCAGCCATTAAAGTAGGAAAATGATAATGCGACATCTGCTTGGCCATCAGTCAATGCGTAGTGCTTTCAGGTTTCTCCCAGAAATGATCTTCAGCAGTATTAAATCGATAGCAATTTTGGTATCAGCGTAGCGTAAGACTGCAGCCTCACCCTAACGAGTGTGTACGGTTTAGTACTGCATCGCGAATTGCTGTGCCATTGCTCTCGTGTTTCTGGTATTTTTAGATCAGTACAATGTAAAGGAATTGTTTCTTCATTTCCTCCCCTCCCTTCCTGTTGCATTAATGAAGTGTAAATACAGTGACTCGGAGAAACGCTTGTGCAGTTTATGACAGGTAACCGAATGCATCCAGCCTAACCTTGCCGTGTCCATTGATGGCTTTCTTGAAAATAAAGTGACTGCTGGGTATCAGGTGGTTTTCCCTTTGTCTTCTAGTGGATTTTACGAATTTGGCTCGAAAGCACATGAGCATTATGCACCTGCATCCTAATATGCACTTGTAGGAATGTCGTGCCATGCCAGTGTTAGGTGTCTTTGTGGTTACTCTTCCTGCACAAACAGACCTGCCGCCTGCACCCCCAGCAGAGGCGTACCACCACAGGGCCACGCTCTGGCAGTTCTCGCCAGTACCACGACCGGAAGGTCACGCGTGCCTTTAGAAGATGTTCAGGGTCCTGATTTCTGGATAGAACTCAGACTACACAAACGTTGTGCTCTGACAAAAGGCTGGTCTGTCTCTGGACACGTGGCCGTGTAGCTGGTTGTCTTACTTCCCAGGAAGCAAGTACCCATTTCTCATAGAAAGTATCCTACTGAGGAATTACCATAAAGCAAAGGGATTCTGGTTGGAGGAACTTTTCAGTTTAAAGTTTTGATGTACACTTATGGTTCACTTAAATTGCTTAAGGAAATCACTAGGAAACTGTTTGAATCTGAGAGAGGTACCAGTGTCTCGTTGTTGGATTTGCTCGTAAACAAACGTGCACTTGCCAATGGTAGGCAGCAAAGAGAACACAGGGAGGAGAGACCTGGACCCTCCATGCGGGGGGCTGGCAGTCAGGGAGGGAAGACAGAGAAGCTCTGTCATGGTGGAAAGTGGTAAGTACACCGCAAGTAGAACTTATGAGTGTGCCCTGATAGTTCAGAAGTAGAGAAGCTTCCAGATACGTCTCGGCCCCCTGACGGAATCAGGTTTTACAGCGGTGTGTGTGGCCAGAACCAGTTTGCGTCATCCTTTCCAGGTAGTCATGTCTGATGTGCAGAGACCCTTTTCAGAGCACTCCTCAGAGGAAGAACTATCTTCCTGGGCTGACTTGCTTGGAAGAGAGAAACGTTAGGCCCTATAGGGTGAGTGAGGTTGTATGGAGAGAATGGACTCAGCAGAGGTATTTGCAGGGGAGTTGGGCAGACAGGGCTGGCTAAGGTCTGCCCACATTCTTTAAGTTTCTTCTATTTCACTTAAAAATTTTTTAAGCTGTTTCGTCTGATCTAAGGGCAGAGTTATTTTACTGACCATAAGGAACAATTTCAGTTCTCTCTTGTACCAGTCAGTATTTTTATATCAACAGGGAATTCCACAAAATATGAATTCTAGTCAGATTCATTGATCCATTAAATGTTTTTGTAATTACTGTGCTTCAGTTGCGTTTAGGAAAAAAAGAACGCAGATTCAAAAGACTGTGCCGGTAATCACTTGCAGCAGACCTGGTTCCAAGAGCATTCATTCTCACCACTCCCGCTCCCTTGCATCGGGAGGGTCTCCGGCCCTGTGTGTGTTTGAAAAATGAGCAGCACACCTGCGCTGAGAAAGCACTTGGATCATTTGATAAAACGCTGTCAGTGGTTTTCTATCCCTTGAACACTAACGTCAAATGAACTCTGACTCTGTTTCCCTCGTCTTTATCATGAGCATTGCTGCTCATTTCAAATACTGATAAGAGAAGCAGCAAAACAAGTTCCTAGGACAAGTGCAAGTTTTTTTTGTTCGTTTCATTGGATCCCATTATATTCTCAGGTATCGGGGACTTTAGAAAATATAGGAAAGATGTCAGAAGAATGGACTGATGAGTGAACTAAACTTTAGAAGATTAAAATAGAGAGGAAGAGCATTCTAGAAACAGTATAGAGTTCAGGAAGATAGAGATAAAAATGGGAGCCTGCGTGAAAAACATGATCACATGTCATCAGAGTTAAAATGGAGAAGTGAAAGTAAACAGAATCAGATTGAGAAAACCCAAGTAAGAACTATGAGCTCAGTGTGTCGTGAGCCAGCATAAAAATGCGTAGAGATGTAGTCGTTTGCTTGTCACCAGTCCATCATGCTGGCGGTCTTGTCTGTGCAAGAGCTGTAAGGTGAACCGTGCACCCAGCTCAGGCAGAGCAGGCCACACGGGGCTTGTTGGCGTAGGTGGTGGATGGCAGCAGTGGCGAAGCTTTCTGTCCACTATGGCTTGGGAATTTGAGTGCTGCGATTCTGCATCTGGCTTGTTCTTTTTTTCATTACCTTTGTCCATCTGTGGCTGTAGCTGGCTAGGTGACAGTGTGCACCCCGTGAGCCTCATCAGCTCTGTCCATTCTCCCTCTAGGGTGTGTCGGGGAAATCATGCCGTCATCAGGACACCGGCTCCGCGATGTCGAACACCATCCCCTCCTGACTGAAAATGACAATTATGACTCTTCGTCCTCCTCTTCTTCCGAGGCCGATGTGGCAGACAGAGTCTGGTTCATCCGTGACGGCTGCGGCATGATCTGTGCCATCATGACGTGGCTTCTGGTTGTCTATGCAGACTTTGTGGTGACGTTTGTCATGCTGCTGCCTTCCAAAGACTTCTGGTACTCCGTGGTCAACGGAGTCATTTTTAACTGCCTAGCGGTGCTCGCCCTGTCTTCTCACCTGAGAACCATGCTCACCGACCCCGTAAGTGCTCGCTGTCTTACTGGATTTTTCTCTTGTATCTGGTCTAGTGCGACACCGTAGACCATGTGGCGAAGGGCCTCTTGCTCCTGTAACCTGTTTTTATTAATTCCTCGATAGGGGCTTGTAGCATTTTTTGTGTCTTAATTGGAGAATAAGCATCACATAGAAGTGATATCACGGTATGTTTATGAGACACATTCCCATCCCGCTGTTTATTCAAATGAAGCAGTTGTACTCAATTACTTCTAAAATCTCTCTTAGTTTAAATATTTTGTTTCTCTAAAGATTGAAGTGAAAGCTGAGAGATCTGGGATCTAGATTTCACCACTGTACTAATCTTTTAATTGCCTTTTGTAAGCAACTACTTTAACTTCTTTGAGCTAAAGGTTAGTTATTATATCTAAGTTCTCTCTAGCTTTATAATTCTCTTATTTTTAAGTCTCAGATAAAATCTGGAGCAGTTGTCTCATTCTAGCCAGTGAAAGGTCAAGGTTCAGCCTGTCTGCAAAGCAGAGGCAGGGCTCACCAATTACTGGTTCCATCAAGTGTGGGTTGTGACTTTGGATGAAGTAATTGCTAAGTAGAGGTCAGGTCCAGTGCACAGTGAGAGAACTAACACAGATATATGAAAACAAGGGCGGAGTAATGGGCTTATCTTTGGAGCAGTGGCCCTCAGGATAAAGATGGGCCATATCTCACACAGCGAACTGCCTTTATTCCTGATGTCTTGAATGCCCCTCGATTCAGAGCCTCCACACTGGGTGTGAGGCCGCTTCTCTGAGGTTCTGAGACATCCTCAGGTTAGACAAAGCAGTACAGATCCTCGCAGCTCAGCCAGAAGTCACCTCCAAACAGTGGATTCCAGGTTCACCCCAGAGCCATAGGAGGTGCCGGGGGGCTGCCTTGTGGGTGGGCAGCCTGCAGGCCCGGTGGGAGAGGTTCCCCCATCAGCAGGGCTATGCTGCAGGTGTGCCTGGCCAGGTATTAGCAGTTCGTGTGGGGTTTCGTTTGAAAAAGGTTCTTTCCACAGTGTGAAGAGAGTGCTTTCAAACCACTGGTACAGGGGCTCCTGATTTGTGTGTTAAAGTCTACGGGGCTCATGTTTATTGGTAAACTTTCTCTAAAAACGTGCCAAGAAGTTAATGTTTTGTTCATGTCATGATGGGTATCACCCTGCATTATTTACTGTCATCTGTCTGCTTAGTAGAGGCCTAGGACAGTATTACAGAGCCAGCCAGCTCTGCTCATGGTTTTGTAGCCTCGCCCGATTGTGCAGTCTTTGACTGCAACCCGGTCTGATAGCCTTCTGGGACTTAAAGGACCTGCTTCTCCTTTCTCTTTACGAGCCTCCCTCTGGCATCTAAACCCTGCTCCTGACCCCTGTGTGTGTCCGTCCCCTCACCTCGCTGCATCAGAAACACCACACGTCAGGTACTCAGGCCACAGGGAGCAGTTACAGGGATAGGTGCCAGATTAATCATTTCTAGTCAAACATTCATGGTAGGAAAAGCCCTGTTAATGTTGACCACCTTCCTGGATGCTGAAAACTGGGCAGGGCCATCCTTTGTGTGACCACACAAAGGTCCCCAGTTGGCCGGGGCAGGCGGGGGAAGAGGGTTGACCAGGCTGAGACTCCTCGTCAGACTGTGTTTGCTGCTTCTACCAAGTGTGGTTGCCCTTCACTCCTTGGCAGTCTGGCTCCTGTCCCCACCCCTCTCCTCCTTTGGGAAAAGGCTTCAAAACTCTTACAGGAAGCCCCAAGAACTGGGAGAGGCGAGGTGGTGGGGAGAAGGTGTGTGCGGGATGCTGCCTCCTCCTGGTGGGCATATTTATTTCACCTGTTGGGTCACTGTGGAGACCGGGAAGCACTGAGAGGGAGGCGGACCGAGGTGGAGGAGGAGTTTGAGATCTTGGACGTCAGAGTTTTTCAATTGAAATTTAATTTATATACCACAGAATTCATCCTTTAAAGTATATTGTTCAGTGACTTTTACTGTAGTCACAGAATTGTACGACCATCACTACAATCAATTTTAGACATTTTTATCATTCCCCCCGCAAAAAAACACACCTCGTACCCTTTAGCCATCACCACCCAGACCCCTATATCCTCCAGTCCTAGGCAACCACCAATCTCTCTGTATCTGTGGATTTGCCTGTCTGGAACGTTCGTACAAACTGAACCATATAATATGTGGCCTTTTATGTCTGGCTTCCTTCACCCAGCACAAGGTTTTCAGGGCTCATCCATGGATAGCACGTGTCAGTGCTTCGTTCCTTTTTATGGCTGAATCATATTCCACTGTATGGATAGACCCCATTTTCTTTATAAACATCATCCGTTGATGGACATTTATGTTGTTTCCACTTTGGGCTATTAAGGATATTGCTGCCATGAACATTTGTGTGCAAGTTTTTGTGTGGACCTGTTCCATTTCTCTTGGGTAGATACCTAGGAGTAGAATTGCTGGGTCATATGTCACTCTGCACTGAACTTTTTGAGGAACTGCCAGACTGTTTTCCACAGTGGCTGCACAGTTTATATTCCCACGAGCAGTGCACGAGGGTCCAGTTTCTCCATATCCTCACGTTGTGGTTCATCTTTTTTTTAGCATAGCCATCCTAACGGGTGTGAAGCAGCATCTCACTGTGGTTTTGATTTGCATTTCCTTAATGACTAATGGTGCCGTGCATCTTTTCTCGTGCTGCTTGGCCATTCTGATGTCTCTGGACAGCCGTCCATTCAAGTCCTTTGTCCATTTAGATGTCACTGTTGCAGCCATGCCACATATTAAGACAATGATGGCAAGTTACTTCTGGGAGTCAGTGTAAATAAAACTGAGGAACCCAAGGCAAGAATCCTGCCAAGAACCCCGCAGGCTGCAGAACTGGGATGTGGACGCTGTTAGAGAGGTAGACCGAGGGGAGAGCTGGACAGGCCCCTCAGGCTTTCTCTGTCCCTCGGGCATTCTGTCTTGCTCAGCATCCTGGCTTTCCCTGCTGCCTAGTGAAGAAGCACAGCCCCATGGACCAGACGGGGTTGGAATCGTTAAGTTCCAAATCCGCATTCCTGAAGGAGAGACTGCGTGGCCCAGCGGGGTCAAGTGTGTTCACTCTTTGTCCTCTCATCAGGGAGTCTGCTTTACCATCCCAAGGTCCAGTGTGGGCTCAGCTAAAACCATCACACCAGCCTGGGGCGGGGCAGATACCCCACTGGGACTTCATGTCATTTTACTAAACTACAAGTCAGTCTTTGCTAGCATTGGCTTTTGTTATTTGAGAAAAGTCATTGGCACTTTGAGGAGCAGGAAGGAAGATGGGGCCCATGACATTCGATGGAGCAGAGCAGAGATCCGATGATAAAGCAAAAAGCCCCACTGTTGGAAGATGAGACTTTCACCAACCTTAACATTCAGAAACACGCTGAGAACTTATAATTGTGCAAGGTCATTGAATGATTAAAAAAGGGCCGCTCACTACCTTAGAGCCCACAGACCTTCCCCCAGAGCCTGCCGTCCTGAATCCCCAGCCTTTTTTTACGAGCATCAGCCTTCTCCGCGGACATTTGCCGAGTGCCCGACGAAGGGCTCCCTTGAGGGAGCCATCGGCCCTGTTCCAGGCGCCCTGCCAGAGGCATTCTGTCATTAATCCTCCAGCACCTGGAAGAGCTGGGTGGTACATCCACAGCCGAAAATGAGACCCCACAGCTAGTAAGAGATGAAGCCGGGATTCGAAAAAGATTTGTCTGTCTCCAAAGGCCCCGCTTTTTGTTAAATTCTTACAGACATTTCAGACATACAGGGAAGTAGAGAGAAAACAGTGTCGTGAACCCCAGTTAGCACTTCACGGTCAGTCTGGTGTCAGCGGTACCCTTACCTAACTCCCTCTCTTCCCCGCCCCAGAATATTTGGAAGTAAATCTCAGACATTATAAAACTTTATTTGTAAATATTTGAGTGTGTCTTTAAAAAATAAGGGCTCTTCTTCATTCAAAGTCTCGCTGCAATGCTAATAGCTCATGTGGAGCAACCAAGTAATTCCGTACCACCTGTACAGTTGGAGTTCAAATTTTGTCAGTTCCTTTACACCTTTGTTTGAATAAGGCTCCAAATAAGGTCTGTACTTTGGAGTTGACACATTAAATGTGTCTCTTTTAATCCCTGTGGTCCCCTTTCTCTTTTTTTCTTGAGATTTTTAAATTGAAAAATAGTCTTTATCTCTTAGCTTTCCTCCGTCTCTGGAATTTTCAGCATATTTTAACATGCTCTTCATGCCCTGTGTTTCTCATAAATTCGTAGGGAGATCCAGGGGAAAGCCCCAGGCTTAACTCCTCTTTGGTTAGGTCCCAGGGATCCAGAATGCATGACAGGGAATTGGGGATCAAGAAGGAACTATATGGAAAAAAAATGTGTGCTCTTCAAAGCGTAACTTCCCTGGACATTTGACTTTTCCTAAGTGTGGGTGTCTGGTGTCCTTCTCTGTGGTGGGTCAGAGGTGGATGAGGGCAGGGTGTGAGGTCAGGTGCCAGAAGAGGCAGCAGTAAATCAAAAAGCCGTTAGGAGAACTTTGTGCAAAAGGGGAGCAGTAGGACCAGGTAGGGTAGGAAGCAGCCCAGAGACATGGCTGTGGCCTGGTGCCGGGATCACAGCCCTGGGGAGATGGGGATGAAACATGCACGATGCATTTTGGAGGAAAACATCCCCTGAAAGTGGTTAAAATAGAAATGTGAGCTTGAGGAATGTGCCTCAGCTGTTTGGAAGGTTCTTTTGACGGAATGAAGAGTGGTCTCCACTGGCGCCGAGGAAACGGGTGCTGTTCTGGAGGTGGACCGTGAACGGAGCCAGCTGCTGGTGCGAGCCGAGCGTGGCGGCCGGCCCTTCTGCTGGGTGTCTGGTCTGCGAAAGCATGCCTCAGAAGACTCAGAATCACGGCGTAGGTCATGGGCTGTGGGGCTTTGGGGGAATCATCTTGAACTCCTTGAGGAGCTTCATTGCCTGACCAGGGTCCCGAGCAGCAAAAATGAACGCCTGGAACCAGGAAATGCCTTAAACTCCGGTCTCTAGTTGCTAAGTGTCACCTAACGATTGGCTACCCCTTTGTGGGTACAGCATAAGCTGTTTTCTAAAAAAAATGGGTAGTGTTGGAGTGCTCTGCTTTCCAGAGGGTATTCGGTCACATTTGTTTTTACTATGGAAAAGTACACGCGTGTCTCATAAAAATTAAGATGTGTGGCGTTTTAAAGCTTGTTCATTTCCTCTTATTATGGAAATGTGTGACGCTGTCACCAGGAGCATGTATACGACTGGATTGGTGGGGGAAACTTGAAAGACTCAAAATTGTGGTTTGTAAATTAAGTAAAATGTTGTGCCCAACATTCTGATTTAAAAATTTCAAGAGTTTAAACCCTTACCTTTTTACCTTCTTTAAGGAGACAGTGTGAATGTTAAGAAATGCTAGGAATTTGACCAAAACAGCTTCGCCACATTAGGATGATGAAACTGACTGATGCTTGTTCAGAGGGAAGTCAACTTATAGTGGAGAGTTTGGCTAGAAACACTCGTATTGTGCCCAAAGTCCCTAGGACACCTCCTGGAGGCCTTACTTCCTCCTGGTGATGGGGCACGGGGCCCTAAGCCTGGCTCACCAGGGGCCGTGAAGCCGGTGGTCATCAGTCTCCAGATTACGACACATTCGCCTGAACTTTTTCAAACTTGGGTGTCAGCCCCTCCCCTGCAGAGGTTCGGATCTGGCCCCAGTGTCCAGCCTGCACATCCAGGCTTTAAATAGTGCCAGCGCCGCTCCTACTTGTGCTGACCAGTAGGACTCCACTGGAGTCCCTAACCGTCCCCTTCCCCTCTTCCACCTCAGTCTTCCCAGGGCTGTTCGCTCCCACCCTTCCATCTCCTTGTGCTTCTTTTCTTCATGCCCCTTTATTACTGCACCCCTGGCCTGTTGGTCCCAGTGGCTCAGTGGGGCTTATTCTCTAGAAATGTGCATTTCTGCATGAAGTACAGACTCCGAGGGGTAAGAAATGGAATTCAGATCTTATTTCCTGCGTTTAGATATTTCGAACACCCCCATCCACTCTGGTCAGAATGCTTATCTTAGTCCACCCTGCCACCACACCCAGAGTCATGTTCCAGACACGTATTTCATTACGTCTCACCACCGCCTGAAGATCAAGGCCCTCCCTGTTGCGGCCCACTCAGGCCCTCGCGGCCCACTGCACAGGCCTCACTTCCCCGCGTCTGGCCTCCAGCCTGCATGGTTCTGTGAGGCTCCTGGCCGTCAGCGTTCTGCCTCTTGCCATCAGTTCACATTTCCCTAACTCGTCTTCCCATTGCTTCCCTATTGCTTATCTTTCTCCAGCTCCGCTAGCACTTGGGGCATGGGCGGTGCACTGTTACAGCCCCTGACCCCGTGGCCAGGCTCAGAGTTGGGTCGGGTACTCAGGCCACACTTTCCAGGTTTGAGTGTGAGTGCTCTTGATTAGGTTGACAGATACAGATGCATTACATATAAAAACACGAGATAAAGTCCTTTGTGAGATTGTTTTGTTCAATGTTCCCCTACTGCAGCTGATAGGAAACTGTGGGCAGCATTATCAGGCCAAGCCCATGAGAATGGGGTGATAAGGAAAAGTGGCGACAGAACGTACTGGCACCCTTGGGGACAATCAGCTGCCCTTAAGCTGCCCTTTGCTTAATAAACAGACCTTGCTTCTGGCGTATCTTGCATTAGCTAGAAAAAATACAGGTGACTTACCAGTTCATGAAGGGATAATAAGGTATTTGCGTTCATTTTAATGCATGTTATTCTTTATGGAAAATAAAACTTCTGGTCCTGCCTAACAGACATTTTTCATATTAATATGCTTTAAGTGGCACCTACAGCAATATTAGTATTTTATGATATATAAAATCTAACACTAATTCCTACATTTATATAGTCTATTTTTAATCTTTCTTTCTCTCCAACTAAAACACATTCTTATTAAACTGTAGGGGGCGGTACCCAAAGGAAATGCCACTAAGGAATACATGGAGAGTTTGCAGCTAAAGCCGGGAGAAGTGATCTACAAGTGCCCAAAGTGCTGCTGTATCAAGCCCGAGCGTGCCCACCACTGCAGGTACCACGGCGCCTCCCTTAGGCCGGCCCTAGTGCCCACCACTGCAGGTACCACGGCCCCTCCCTTAGGCCAGACCGAGCACCCACCATCGCAGGTACCACGGCCCCCTTCCCTCGAGCAGGAGGACCCCTCGGCAGCCTCTGACCAGCATTACAATTCCATGTGTTGGACACATGGCCTGGGGTTGTGTTTCCTCGGAGCAGGGAATACTGAAAATCAAACCTGTCTCTTTCAGTATTTGCAAAAGATGTATTCGGAAAATGGATCATCACTGCCCGTGGGTGAATAATTGTGTTGGAGAAAAGAATCAGAGATTTTTTGTGCTCTTCACTGTGAGTAGAAATATTTATGTAGTGACATATTGAGTTTTAAATTCTTTAACTAGAATCTTGCCTAGAGCAGGTAAATTTATTCTAACATCAGACCAGTTTCTCCAACCTTTCCTCCAGGATTCAAATTATAACACTGTGCTGAGATTGGTAGTCCATCAGATAAATACATGTTGCTTGTATTATTTAGATGTTTTACTGTCATTTAATTCTCTCTCAGATACTTTGAGTCATTTCTTAATAGGATCTTGCTGAAGTGTATTAGAACTTACTTCTTGTCTACGGCCATGCCACCCTGAACACGCCCGATCCCATCTGATCTCGGAAGCTAAGCAGGGTTGGGCCTGGTTAGTGCTTGGATGGGAGACCACCTAGGAAGACCAGGTGCTGTAGGTGTTTAAAAAAGAAAAGAACTTACTTCCGTACTGTATATTTTTCTATAAAATTATTTTACTTAGTCTAATATGATCTTGGGTAGGCAGATGTCAACTACTGCAATTGATTCCTTCCTTTGTTAATTTTTACTGACAAATGAAATGGAGGAGTCAACATAAGATTAAGCGGTCTTCGGTCCTAGAAATCCATAATCGTTCACCAGTCGTAACCAGTTTCTCCCTCGTTCCAGATGTACATAGCTCTGTCTTCAGTCCACGCTCTGATTCTCTGTGGACTTCAGTTCATTTCCTGTGTCCGAGGGCAGTGGACTGGTAAGCTCACACTGTGTGTGTCTTTCTTGGAAGTCATGCTATTGGGTGAAGAGGGGAAAGCTTTAAAGGAAGAATTGATTTTCTAGTTTTGAAAGAAATCCTCACGGTTATTTTAGGAGTTTTTGTTATGATAAGTTTTCACACTGCCTTTCTGCTAGTATGATGAAGCCATAAATATAACTTTTCTTCCGTGGTCAATTAATAATTTCTACTAAATAGTTTCATTTACATTTTGTAGATATTGAGATTCGATGGAAGTTAGTAGTATTTCCACCAAAGCTGGTGTTTGTTTTCTAATTAGCTAGCTAGGCATCGTGTGGAGTACAGCTTGCATGACCGAACATGAGTGTAGTGCAGATGGGCCTAACGTGTCCAGCACTGGATATGCAGGCAGCTCAGACAGAGATGCCCCACCCCAGGGTGGGTGGGGAACAGCCCGTGTGTACTTCCCGTGTGTAGGTACACATGCCTTTCTTCTTCTCCGGGTTTAGTTGCATTTTAATAAGCACTTTAATACACAAATACAGTCTTAATAGAAACTTCGGATAACATGGACTCTTTAGAAACTGCTGACCAGAAATGGTGTGAATTTTTGCTTGAAAGGGCTGACCTCCTCTGCCCCTTGGTGAACAGTGAACGTGCCTATTACAAAAGGAGCACTTCCTCCTGGAAGTCGGCCAGGGGCTGGCACTGTGAGGATCCTTTTGTGAGCGAAACATGCTGATATCCTGCTGTTTGGGGAATTCGTTATGCTCTGATGTCCAGTCACAACGCACTTTCTCTCGTTCACAGAATGCAGTGATTTTTCACCTCCAATCACTGTCATCCTGTTGATCTTCCTGTGCCTTGAGGGTCTCCTGTTTTTCACTTTCACTGCAGTTATGTTTGGCACCCAGATCCACTCAATATGCAATGATGAAACGGTATGCTTTGTTCTTGGCTGTATTTGCTTAATATTTGGTGAAAGCTTGAGTAAATGGGAAATCGTAATGTCAACAGCAGGTGCATGTATATTAACGCAGGAGATTAATTGGGCAGCCTCGATAAGCTCCGACAGGTTCGCTATATTTGTTCATCCTGTCATTATGCGCAGTGCATATTTCAGGGATCAGTGTGATTTGAGAGTCAACAGAGCCAGGCAGATTCCCATTTTCTAGGAGACTCAGCCCCCTGGAACAGCTGGACGAGTTGCAAGGAATTGGTTGCCTTCACAGCTTTGAACTGTAGGTCTAGAGAAGGCACTTGATAAATATTTGTAATGAATGAATTAAGGGCTGTCCCCTGGCCCTGAGGACCAGCTCTCTCCTGCACCACTGTGGCTGCGGGGGCTGTCCAGTTAACTGATGGCCGCTGTATAATGTTGGTCTGGCCAGCCTGGCTGTGCTGAGAGAGGTCGTGGGGGCTGGCGCCAGGAAGGAAAGCCCACACTTCATCCGAATGCCTCGTCCTCAGATGCAGTGGAATCGTAAAGTTTGGTGGTATTTTCTGCTGACTTAACCACTCGGCCTCACCTGGATGTGTTGGGGTTTTCCTGGCACTGCCACCCACTTGCTTATCTTTCTGCCTCCAGGAGATAGAGAGACTGAAAAGTGAGAAGCCCACCTGGGAGCGGAGGCTACGATGGGAAGGGATGAAGTCTGTCTTTGGGGGGCCCCCCTCACTCCTCTGGATGAATCCCTTCGTTGGCTTCCGATTTAGGCGACTACAAACGAGACCCAGGAAAGGAAGCCCAGAGTTCTCTGTTTGAGGTCCCTCTCATCACGCCAGAACTGGTTAACCAACTTGATTTATCCGGGGTCTGAAAGGGTATCGACAGCTCATCTGTGACCAAGGGCAAATGGAACCGACACAAACCAGTTGCTTGCAGCAAGCAGAGTTTTATATATTTAGTCACAGACTGCAGATTTTCCAAACGAGTAACTGGATGCTGCTCTCATCAGTTTTCACCTGTACAACTAACGAAAGGGATGTGGCCACACGAAGAAGCCAAATGTCATTCTCTTCCTGCACAGTTAGGATTTTTGTTAAGAGTACTTTCATTTTCTAAGAAGCTGTGTGGGATACTACATAGGTTATGGAAATCCTGTGTACTGAGCTGCTTTTTTCAATCATGAAGAAAAAAAGTCAATCCAGTGAACAAGAATTCTCCGACGAGCGCTTTCGGGAGTTCCTGTCGGCCCCGTGCAGCAGAGCTCTCCCTCGGTGGGCAGGGGCGTTTACATAGAAGTCAGCGTTGGTCTCCATTAGCTCTGACACTTTGCACTGAATTGGCAAAAGATCTGTGCACTGATGAACGGTGAAGGTGGCTTCAGGTACACTTCCACTGCCCGGAAGAGGCATTCTCTGACCCTGCAGCAAGTCTGCGCGTCTGCGCGTCTGCGTCTGTGTCTGTGCCTGTGTGTGTGTGTGTGTGTGCGTGTGTGCGTGCGTGTGCGCATGTGTGCGCGCGCGCGCGTGTTTTAAAATTGACAGTGTTGTGTAGGCGATGTAACATTTAACGGTTGTGTGCAGCAAACCAGCTATTTTTTAGAAACCGACGTTTCAGGGAAGCGGGGAGAGCGGCCCCGGGACCCTCCTCCCGTGGGCCTCACTCTGAATGTATTGCAACCTGGAGAATATCTTGATCCAAAGAACAATCATTCCTGTGCGGTCCTCTGTTGCCCTCCCGTTTTCATTTTATCTTCAAATTCTTCAGTGCGTGGGGGACTTGGAACCGACTTTTTTGTTCCGGCCGAATTGGCGGTGTGTGAACGGCACCTCAGCGAGAGAAGAGCAGAGTCGTGCGGCGGCCGTCACCTCGTGCACCTGGTCACTCGTGCAGCTTGGTGGGTGTGAAGAAGGAGGGGCAGACATAGCAGCAATGAAACAGAGAGACAAGTGTTGGCCTTTGGGCGTCACTGAGAAGGTGAGGGGACTGCAAGGCAATGAGCCCTGGATTCTGTGTCCAGAGAATATTCAGGATGGCAACATCTCGTTTGATTTTTCTTTTTTTGGGGGGGGTGTCATTTATGTTTCTCTACCCATGTCACAAGTGATAAAATAAGACCATTGGTGCAGAGCTTCAGATTATGTCAGAAAGCAAACAGCTCCCCTCCTTGGGGACTCGCCTTAAACCTGCCTGGTCTGTCCATGTTGTGCGGGACTCACAAGGAAGCCATCTGTGACAGTCCGAGGGTCTCCTCTAAGCCTGCCTCCCACGCTGAGAACTGTTGATGTTTCTCTCCTGGTCTTCACTCCTTTCTGTTCATCTGTGAACCGTTTTGTTTTTGTTTTTAATTAATTTGTACCCTATCCTAATCAGGGCTTCTACCACTGCTGATGCAAAACCACAAAGGGACCTACTTGAGACACAATCATAGCCAAGTGAACAAAGCTATATAGGGTGTTTTTTGAAATGGACTAAGTCACTGCAGAAATGTGTGAGCTATTAGGGGATGGACTGCGTCACAGCCAGAGGGACAAAACACGTGTAGTGGGTGATCCAGGAGACTGTTTCCAGAGATTGTCTTGCATATTCATTTGCACATTTGTTGTCTGGGTTGGACATGTGTACTGGGCTTCAATGTGAGGCTTTTAATATGTATATCCTGTTTATCAATTAAAAAAAATTATCGAAGTGGTTGAATCCTGTGAGACTTGGCAAGTATGTACAAATCAAGTATACTTGACTTTTCAACCTCTTCTTTCAATGTAACTTTTATATGAAATAAACTCATCAATTGACGGTTCTCAATTTATTACGTGGTGCAGTTCTTGGTGGATTGTCAGTGTGTTCAGTGGCTGGCTTCTCCTTGGCTCATTAACACCAGCACCCAGGCTGTCATAGTCACTCCTGTACTGTTTCCAAAGCCGCATTCACCACCTCACCACTGCCCTCACCGCCTTGCCCTCCACACTTAATATTGTACTCTTAAATTGACACACATCATCCTACTTAGCTTTATGCTAAACATTCCTGTAATTTTTTTAGTGCTCTTTGAAATTAAAAGTTTAAAAAAAATCTCTCTTCAACCCAGAATGTCTGCTACTTAAAGCTTCAACAAATTTGTCTAATATTTGTGCTCGAGAGACCCAGAGATGTGTGAAGAGAGAGAGCTAGGGAAGATGGGCAGCCGCATGAATGGACGACCAACTGTGCACGCCACAGAGATGCTGCCTGCACACTGTTCCAGGAGGCACTTGCTGGCCTTTCAGATGTGCAGAAACAGAGGATCCTAGACATGGAGACATCCCTGAGCCTGGACGCCAGGCCAGCAGCTACTCTCGGGTTTGTATTTGTGGTTCTGCAGAATTTTGCTGCGATATATTTGTATTCCTATTAGGATGTCATGTAGGCTCATTTCAGAGAAGTATGACATTTGCATTAAAATGGAAAATGAAAATGTTATCCAAACAGGAAGGTGGCTAAATCTTCTATTATATATAATTTCAGTTTGGGTGCTTAAGCAGAAAAAAATATCCTGAAAAATAGCCTAGGAGAAGCCCATAGAATCCACGTTGATTACAAAGTAGTGTGCAGGTGCTTCAATGAAAGGGTAAGCTACCTGCAGCATTGACAGGATCAGATTTAAAACCACATTGTTCCTTATCCATCCAACTGACAATTTAAACAAAGACAGCCCAAAGACAAGGAAAGATAAAGCTTGGTTCAGTTAGCCGAAAGCTGAGCCAGTTTTGATCTGTAAGAGAACAGCTTGGCTTCCAGGCGCAATGGAAAGATTGAGAAAATTACAGAAGAAGGTTCTATGCACAGCGCATTTTCAATCCAGAGAACACGTGGTTTCCCAGAGCTCCTGGATTCACAGCCTTCTCTGCCTTCCCCTCCCCACTCACCCAGTGCATTTACATCCCACGTTTGTTCACTATACAGTTTATATTACGATGGCTAAATATTTTATTGTTAAACCAAGTAGGGTCCTGTGATGTATAGCTTTTCACTCTTCCCCGAGATAACATTGCCTCATGCGTGCCCTGTATACCCATCATTCGGTCTTTCTCCACCCCCACAAGCCTCTCTGGTGATGGGGTAGTTCCTGCCCAGCCTCCCAGCTTTCCGCTCCTGCTCCTGGCCACCTTGGCTTCTCAAGGTGTGCTGTGCAGATGTCTTCCCGAGACTCCTGTGCTCAATCTCTGGCTTCCTGGCTTCTGCATCTTCCTGGCTCCTGCATTCTTCAGTGGGTATAATACACACATTCCTCAGTAGTTCCTTGAGAAGAGGCGTGTTACTAAAGTTTTCAAGACCTTAGCCTGTCCGAAAAATGCCTTATTCTACCCTTACCTTTGGTTGATGGTTTGGCCAGACTGTGGATTCTCTGTTCAATACTCTCCATTCAGCATGTTGGAGACACCACTCCTGGTCGTCGTCCACCTCCCAGGGCGGCCATTGAGAGGATCCAAGTACTGGTTTCTATTTATGTGACCTAGGTTTTTGTTTTTTTAATTTCAGGAAGCCTTTAATATCTTCTTTTTAGCCTTTAATTCCTCATGTCTAACAGTGATCTGCCTTGGTGCCCTGTACTAATGGATGGTGGCCCCTTTCTACCTGAGAGATGTGATTTTTTGCTTCTGGCAAACAGGCTGTGTTTCATCTTTGGGAAGTTCACCCTCTGCCTTATTTTTTAACTCTTACAGACTGAACATGGTACTTCCTGGACCAACCCTCTCATTTTTTCTCTTATTGTCTGTTTTCTGGAACGTATCCTTAACTCAGTCTTCTAGCTCTTCTCCTGGATATTTTATTCAGGCTACGATAACGTTAATTTCCAAGAGCTTTTAATTGTTCCTTTGTCTTTTTTAAAAAAAAGACATTTTTTTTCAGAGTAGTTTAAGGTTCACAGCAAAATTGAACGGAAGGTCCAGAGATTTCTCACATACCTTTTGTCCTCACAAATGCACAGCCTCCCCCACTATGAATATCCTCACCAGAGCGGTGCCTTAGTTATAACTGATGGACCTACATGGACACTGAGTAATCACTCAAAGCTCACAGTTTACACTACGATTCACTTTTGGTGTACATTCCATGGGTTGGACACATGTATAATGAATGACATGTATCCACCATTACAGTATCGAACTATTTTCACTGCCCTAAAAATCCTCTGTGCTCCGCTTGTTCTTCCCTGTCCCTCCACCAGCAACCACTGATCTTTCTACTGTCTTCACAGTTTTGCCTTTTCCAGAATATCGTAGAGTTGGAATCACACAGTATTGTAGCCTTTTCAGACTGGCTTTTCACTGAGCTTTTAAGTTTTCTCCATGACTCGTCACGGCTTGATAGCTCATTTCTTTTCAGTGCAGAATACTATTCCATTGTCTGGAGGGACCACGGTTTATTTATCCATTCACCTACTTAATGGCATCTTGGGTGCTTCTAAGTTTTGGCAGTTATGAATAAAGCTGCTGGGCATGGGTTTTTGTGTGGACATAAATTTTCAACTCATGTATTCTGCTAGGAGTTTGATAGTTTCAGATCTATTTAAGTTTAGTCCATTTTGAGTTGATTTTTAGGTGTGGTATCATTCTTTTGTATGTGGATATCATTTCCCAGCACCATTTACTGAAGAGACTGTCCTATCCCCATTGTGTATTTTTGGCACCCTTCTTGAATATCAGTTAACCATATAAGCATGGGTTTATTTCTGGGCTGTCTATTCTGTTCCATTACTCTGTTGTCTTTATACCAGCAACATACTGTTTTGATTAATGTAGCTTTGTAATAATATTTTGAAATCAGGAAGGGTGATACTTCCAGCTTTATTCTTATTTCTAAAGACTAATTGGACGATCTGTGGTCTTTTGTGGTTTCATATACATTTTAGAATTTTTTTTTTCTATTTTTGTAAATGCCATTGGGATTTTGATAGGGATGGCATTGAACCTGTAGATAGATTTGGGTGGTGTGGACATTTTAGCAATATTAAGTCTTCCAGTCCATGAACATGGGATGTCTTTCCATTTATGTCTTCTTTAATTTCTTTAATCGATCATTTGTAGTTTGAGGTATACAAGTCTTTCACCTCCCTAATCAAGTTTATTCCTAAGTATTTTGTTCTTTTCGGTGCTAATGTAAATGGGATTGCTTTCCTTATTTCCTTTCCAGATAGTTTGTTGTTCGTGTATAGAAATGCAACTTTTTTTTTTTTGCACAACTGATTTTTTTTTTTTTTGCATGTTGATTCTATTCTGCAATTTTACTGAATTTATAAGTTTTAACAGGTTTTTTGGGGGGAGGGTAGAGTCTTTAGAGTTTTCAATATATAAGATTATGTCGTCTGCAAACAGGGACAATTTTATTTCTTCCTTTTTAATTTGGATGCCTTTTACTTCTTTTTCTTGCCTGTGGCTCTGGTTAGGACTTCTCTTACTATATCGAATAGAAGTGACACGAGCGGGAATCCTTGCCTTGTTTCTGATGTTAGGGGAAAAGCTTTCAGTTTTTTAAAGGTTGAATGTGATGTTAATTGTGGGCTTTTCATATATGGCCTTTATTATGTTGAGTTAATTTTCTTTCCTTTTTAAATATTTTTTATTTTTCAATTACAGTCGACATTGAATATTATATTAGGTTCAGGTGTACAGCATTTATATAACTTATGATGTGATCCCCCTGACATGTCTAGTACCCAGTTGACACCATACATAGTCATCAAAATATCATTGACTATATTCTGCATGCTGTACTTTACAACCTCATGACTATTTTATAGCTGCCAGTTTATACTTCCTAATCCCTTCACCTTTTTTACCCAGCCCCACAAACCCCACTCCCATCCCACAGAGGTCCTTTCCTTCTATTCCTAGTTTGTTGAGAGTTTTTATCATGAAAGGTGTTGAATGTTGTCCAACACTTTTTCTACATCTATTGAGATGACCATATGATTTTTATCCTTTATGTGGTTAATGTGGTGTATCACGTTGATTTTCATTTATCGAACTATCCTTGCTTTCCAAGGATAAGTATCTCTTGGTCATGGTGTAGGATTCTTTTAATGCGCTGTTGGATTCAGTTTGCTAGTATTTTGTTTAGAATTCTTATATCTCTATGTTCATCAAGAATATTGGCCTATAGTTTTGTTGTGGTGTTTTTGTCTGGGGTTTGGTATCAGGGTAATGTTGGCCTCATAAAATGAGTTTGGAACTGTTTCCTCCTTTTCAGTTTTTTGGAAGAGTTTGAGGAAGACTGGCATTAATTCTTTCTTAAATGTTTGGTAGAATTCATGAGTGAAGCCATCTGGTCCTGAGCTTTTCTTTGTTGGGAGGTTGTTGATTACTGATTTAACCTCCATGTTAGGTATAGGTCTGTGAAGACTTAATAAAGACAGAAATGAAAGAGGAGACATTGCAACTGATGCCACAGAAAGAAAAACAATCATAAAAGATGACTATGAACAATTACGCCAAACTCGATGACCTAGATGAAGAGGATGTATTCTTAGAAATATAAACCCATCACGACAAAGTCATGAAGAAACAGCATACCACTTAAAAAGAAAAAGAAAAACTCAACTGAGATGAGTGCTATGGGAGGGTTTTGCAAAGAGTTCTACATCAATGTTCTAGGGAATGAAAATGTAAGAGTTAGTAGCACATACTTTGTGTTGAGGAAGATTTTTTTTGGGGGGGAGGAGGGACTTGATACTTCAAATTGATAAACAACATTCAAATAAAATGAAATGTTTTGGGTTTAATTGTGCTTCCTCTCTTATTACATTGCCTCATTTTGATCGTCCTCCTTGAGAACATCATGTGGAACATGCGAAGAAGGAAGAGATGTGGGCTTCTACCCAGTCCGGGGTCAAGGGAACCATTTGGTGACAAGTTCTCTGAAACAGACGTGTTCACAAGCCTGCTACAGGACAGATGAACCTCCCAGAGCTTTATAGACGAAGACTACCGAAATGTTTGCATGCTCACAGGAGTGAAGCGAACTTGGTCCCTGCACATTTACCAAATAACACAAACACAGCAACTCCAGGTAAGACAAAACAACCGCACAAACCAGTGATGGCATCATTTTCGTTCTGACAAAGGAAATTTGATACTGCCACTGTTACTTGCCATCTCCCTACCTGTGACCATCAGCCCGTAGTTCTTAAAAATATCCGGCCCACTTTGCAGCCATCTATCTCTGGATCAAGTTGGACAGTAGATGTTTTGCTGCATAGATTTTTTTTTTAGTACGGAAACATTCCCGAGAAACTTGACTTTGAAGGTTGACTGGAGATGAGATGGGAACAAGCACTTACATTTACTTGGGACCCTAGAGCCCCTCAGATTTTTCTGCACCATAGTCCCACACGTGGAAATCCACAAACGTGAATATCCCGCAAGGCCCTGTTCTCGTAAGGACATCACCATGTCGTCCAAAGGACTCCTATTCAAATACATCCAGTGTTTTACAAACCCTGAACTAGAGCTCTCAAACCATAATGTACACACAAGTTCCAGGGCATCCTGGTAAAATTATATTCTGATTTGGCAGGTCTGGGGCGTAGCCCGAGATTCTACGTCCTTAACGGACGCTGATGCTGCCGACCCACAGAGCACACTTTGAGTAACAAAGTCTTAATGCTGGCTGATGTAGGAAGAGTTAATTAACCTACGGTGGCCACTCAATCTAAGTATTAAACAACCATTTGTCAATACTGAAACATACTGGTATAAGTGAAGAAGAGAATCCTCACTTCCACACCTCTGTCAAGGTTATATGCACACAGACACACATCTATGTAAGTCAGAAAAACAAAAGGAAAAATAGGAAAATGAAAGCACTTGGACTTATTGAGGTGGCAAGCCTTTTGGAGAATTTCACTTTTAAAGTCATATGTTGGTGGAATAAGCACTTTTTAGAAGGTGCATGATCTGGAAAGCAGGCTGTTGAGTTGAGCTGTTTACAATCTACTCTAAAAGGACGTTTTAGAACTCACTCATTTTGAGAACTGTTTATGGCTTAATGAGAAAAGCCTTTAGGAAGTGTGGCTGTGGGGAAAAAGCAGCTCTTACATTTAATCAGGAAACAATTCAGTCAGTGGAGAGTGGTCTCCTCCAATGGTGTCATTTAGGGGGTGAGAATCATTTTCCTGCAGATCCAGTGACCCAGCCGCTCTCAGATTTGGTCATGGCACTGTTCTCGCTGGCTATCATGGAATGTCTTGTGCCCGTTTCCCCAATCCCAGCCATCCTGAAGAGGGAAGTCACTCAGCAATGAAGTCCCTTAAGTTGCAGGAGTGTTTTAAGCCCTAGAAGCATTATCATGTCGTCCAAAGGACTCCTATTCAAATACATCCAGTGTTTTACAAACCCTGAACTAGAGCTCTCAAACCATAATGTACACACAAGTTCCAGGGCATCCTGGTAAAATTATATTCTGATTTGGCAGGTCTGGGGCGTAGCCCGAGATTCTACGTCCTTAACGGACGCTGATGCTGCCGACCCACAGAGCACACTTTGAGTAACAAAGTCTTAATGCTGGCCGATGTAGGAAGAGTTAATTAACCTACGGTGGCCACTCAATCTAAGTATTAAACAACCATTTGTCAATACTGAAACATACTGGTATAAGTGAAGAAGAGAATCCTCACTTCCACACCTCTGTCAAGGTTATATGCACACAGACACACATCTATGTAAGTCAGAAAAACAAAAGGAAAAATAGGAAAATGAAAGCACTTGGACTTATTGAGGTGGCAAGCCTTTTGGAGAATTTCACTTTTAAAGTCATATGTTGGTGGAATAAGCACTTTTTAAAAAGTGCATGATCTGGAAAGCAGGCTGTTGAGTTGAGCTGTTTACAATCTACTCTAAAAGGACGTTTTAGAACTCATTCATTTTGAGAACTGTTTATGGCTTAATGAGAAAAGCCTTTAGGAAGTGTGGCTGTGGGGAAAAAGCAGCTCTTACATTTAATCAGGAAACAATTCAGTCAGTGGAGAGTGGTCTCCTCCAATGGTGTCATTTAGGGGGTGAGAATCATTTTCCTGCAGATCCAGTGACCCAGCCGCTCTCAGATTTGGTCATGGCACTGTTCTCGCTGGCTATCATGGAATGTCTTGTGCCCGTTTCCCCAATCCCAGCCATCCTGAAGAGGGAAGTCACTCAGCAATGAAGTCCCTTAAGTTGCAGGAGTGTTTTAAGCCCTAGAAGCATTATCAAATCAACAGGGAGATTCCTGGGGGACCTCTTGGAAGGGGACATGGTGCAGAAGCTCTGGCTTATTAATGACACAGTGTTATCTTGACTTTACCGTTAGGCATTGCTGTGTCATGGGCAAGACCTGCAAGCTGGCACACCTGCTCTAAAATTCTCTCTCCTGACAGGTGCCTGACAGGGGACGGCTGAGCTCAACATGCCATCTGGCCATAGATAGAAATTCACAAGTGTGTGACTAAACTGAGGCTACTATGCAACAACCAGCCCTCTCACAAAGCAGCTCAAACCAGCTGGTTCATCTTCACCTGGCCTTAGGATTCTCTTGAGTTCCAAAAAAAGCTCCAAGTGCAAGGTTAAATAAGAACATGATCACCAGGCATCATTTTGACATTTCCAGTTTCCAAAGTGCCCTCCTATACCTGATCCGATTATATCGTCACTATAACATTTTGAAGCAGATAACAATGTACAGCAAGTCCTCACTTAACATCGTTAATAGGTTCTTGGAAACTGTGACTTTGAGTGAAACAACATATGACAAAACCAGTTTTACACCGGGCTAATTGCTCTAAACAAGAGTTAATTTTCCAAGGCATATTTCTGTCACAAAAACTTTACCAAATTTCTAAATAAGGACCCAAAGTGCTTCTAATATTAAAAATTGAAACAAATGTGAGCTATACATATATATAAGAACGATTAATAAAAACAAGTCAGATCATTAATTTCCAATCCACTTCCAGATCAGGGTCACGGGTAGCTGGAGCCAATCCCAGCAGCTCAGGGCACAAGATGGGACCCCACCCTAGACAGGACGCCCGTCCATCACAGGGCACATTCACCCCTACACTCACTCAGACTGGGACAATGTAGACGCACCGATTCCCCTCACATGCACCTCTTCGGGATGTGGGAGGAAACCAGAGTCCCCAGAGAAAACCCACAGGGGAGAATGTGCAGATTCCATACAGACGGTGCCCCTGGCTAGGAATTTTTTTTTTTCCCCATCAGTGTTATAACAAAACGTAGAACGAAACACGTTATTTGAGGACCTTCTGTGCCCATTTTATAGACCAAAAGACAGGCTTATGGAGGTTATATGAAGTGCCCAGGTTCTCACAGATAGAGAGGATGGATTCCACGCAGACATTCTGACTAGAATAAAAATGCTTTTTGTAATGTAGCTTAACATTCCCTGGCTCAGAATATAAACCTTTCCCCATGAGCTTTAATGCAAATCCCAGCGTGCTGAGCTGGGTTACTGACTGGGGCCTGTTCATCACTGTCTCCATCAAAAGCCTGGAAGAACTAACTACTTAGGGCACTTGGTGGGGAGGGGAGGAATTGGGCCCTGAGGGACTGGACCCGGGGGAGGTTGCTCAGGGACCCATGTGTGGCACACAGTGATCATTTAATGTTTAGCATTATTAACATTAGCTATTCAATAACACAGTCATGTGCCACATAACGACATTTCGATCAACGGTAGGCCACATATACAATGGTGGTCCCATGAGACTATAATGGAACTGAAAGATTCCTATGGCCTAGTGACATCATAGCTGTCATAACGTCCTAAAACAACACATCACTCACATGTTTGTGGTGATCCTGCTGTGAACAGACCTACTGCACTGCCAGTCATATAAAATAGTAGCACAAACAATTACAGCAGTAAGCTATACCACCCAGGTTTGTGTAACTGCATGCTATAATGCTTGCACACCAAAATCACCTAACGACACATTTCTCAAAACGTATCCTGGTTGTTAAATCATTACATGGCTATATTACCCAGTCTATGACTCTAATGGCAATGTTAATAATAATGACAATAATAATAATAATAATATGAGGAGGTAGCTGACCTCCAACTCACCTGGTCATCCACAAGCAGCTCACAGAACTCCAGGAGTACCAATTTTTGCTACTTCTTGGACTTGCACATGTCACTGATGTGGCCACACCTTGGTAGCCAGGTCCCAGGAGGCATGAGGCTGAGGTACCAATGCTGCCGGGAGAGAAAGGGGTAGGCCCTCAGCCTGGCATCTGCACTAAGTCCACCAGAGGGCGCCACAAGACAGCAAATGCTCATACTTGTTCGGGCCACAAAAACAAATTCCTCTATTGTTGGCTCATCTAGCCAGCAGGTCCACAAATATTTATTGAACACCTACTGTGTGCTAGTGAGGCCTCTGCCCGCAGTAGACACAAATGCAAGAAATTAAATTATAACTCTGTACTGTGATACATGCTATAAAAGAACAGCAGTGGGAAGAGAGAAGGAACCTTAGGGTGGACATCCTGGAGAGTGAAGAATCTGGGAGGGGCAGGGGGTGGGGTGGGGTGGGGAGGGAAGAGCTGTGCGAAAGCCCTGGGGCAGAGAAGGGCTGGGAACTGGGTAGTGAGTTTCAGCATTTAACATCAACTTTGACTTGGAACTGGTTAAAACCAGAGAATGCTAGGGTTAGTTCATGACTCTCCCTACCAGGTTCAGAGAAGGTGCTGAAAGACAGACAGACACACAGACACACACAAACGCTCGCTCTCTCTCTCTCTCTCTCTAAGAGTGGGGCAGAAACTCATCTGAAGATTTCTTAGAGAAGGGGCTAGCAGGCTCTTCCAAAGGCCAGGAGCAGAACAGACAGACTTTTGAAGATCAGTGACTTCAAAGGCGTTTCCCTCCTGGGTGGGTTGTTAGGGTCCCTGGAATAGGAACACTGAGGCCGGTGAGAGCAGGTGTAGCATCTGCCACGCATGGGATTTTTTTTATTTGAGTCCTCTCTCTCTCTCTCTCTCTCTCTCTCTCTCTCTAAGAGTTGGGCAGAGACTCATCTGAAGATTTCTTAGAGAAGGGGCTAGCAGGCTCTTCCAAAGGCCAGGAGCAGAACAGACAGACTTTTGAAGATCAGTGACTTCAAAGGCGTTTCCCTCCTGGGTGGGTTGTTAGGGTCCCTGGAATAGGAACACTGAGGCCGGTGAGAGCAGGTGTAGCATCTGCCACGCATGGCCTTTCCCTAGCCTCGGCCTAGGTGAGACCCAGCCATCTGGGCACCAGGCGATAGTTGCATGTTGGGTAGCCTTGAAGGCCATTTGGCAAGGGGTTCTGCTTGTACTGTTGTAGCCGCCAGCCCCCGAAAGACACACGGACCAGTGAAATCGGTGAGTTATAGGAAACATGCTCTTTATTCAGCCAGCTGGGTCTGCCAGGGGTACGCAGACCCCAAATTAAGCAGCCCCGAAATGTAGAAGTACAGGGTTTTTAAGCCCTAAATCCCATTCCTCATTCTGTCTTAAACGCAAAGGTCTATTTTTCTCCTATTCACTACCTGTCAACCCACTGGTCAGGTGTGCAAGCGGGGGTACGGAAGCAGAAAGCTTATTGTTAGAATGTTATGTTCCCATGGGCGATAGCCTATGTTTCCATCGGCGATAGCCAAGCAGTAATTTTCCAGCCAGCACAGTGCCCCAGAAAGCTCAGTGACCAGGTGGCCTCCATAAGGGCTGCTCTGTGGGCAGGTTTGGCTCTCAGTCTGAGTGGCCATGAGATATGGTTGAAAGGGGCAGACAGACATGGCAACAACCCCGCTCCCTGCCATCTCCCAGCTGTGTGACCTGGAGCAAGTGCCTTCACCTCTCTGTGCCTCGGTTCCCTGACCTGAAAAATGACATGATAACAGCTCCAGCCTCTTATAGCCACTGGAAAGATTCTGAACCATAAAGGACTGACCGGGTTGCCTGGCACATATCAGGCACTAAAGAAATGGTAGTGACACTTACGGTCTAGTCTAGGGAAGGGCTTTGCAGCCAAGGCAAGACCTCAAGCCAGACCCGATATGCAGCGGGTGGTTAGATTCTTCATCCATCTTGTTTGCTCTTTTCTTGGTTTTTCTGGACTAACACGGTGTTCTCAGTTAAGATGGTCTTGTAGGATTTTTTTAAAAACCAAATAAAAGTGTAACCAACTAAACAAAACTAAGTCCATTTATAACAAAGCCCCACCAGGGCAAACATTTGCAATGGCCCCGGAAAGCGTTTATCCATGGCGAGAGGCCTATGAAATTTTAAAAGGCTGTAGCTCGTGTCTTTGAAAACCACCAGCATCTTCATGTTTGCCTGGCCCATCCTTCCTGCTGGGAGGTACTTTTCCATCTGTCCTCTTTTCCCCCAGAAAAGCCTAAGGAAGTGACTGTCCAGGTGCTTGGACCAAGGGTGGACATCTTGTCCCTGGCCATCTTGGGCAGAGGCTGCGAGCTGGTGGCTCCGACCTGGATCCGGCTCCCGCAGCGTTGGTAAAAACACCTACAGTCAGCCCCTCACATCTACAATTCAGGAGATTTCACCTAGAAACGCAAATTCGCGACCTCCCTGGGGCCCAGGTCTTACTGGATCAAACTGCTTAGATGTATGTTCACCTAGGACATAGCATCTGAGTTGTTTTTCTTTTTAAATGATTTATTGATGTGAAATTCACAAAACATAAAACTAACCATTTAAATACAGACAGACGTGGCTACAACTCCCCTCCCTGCTACCTCCCAGCTGTGTGACCCAGCGGCATTTAGTGCATTCACAGTGTTGTTCAACCACCACCTCCACCTGGTTCCAAAACATTTCTATCATCTCCCCAGAAACCCTGCACCCATTGGTAGTCACTCCCCAGTCCCCTCTCTCTAGTACCTGGAAGCCACTCAGCTCCTTTCTGTCTCTCTGGATTTGCCTCTTCTGGACATTTCATATGGATGGAATCATACAACATGTGACTGGCTCTTCTATTAGGCACGTCTTCGAAGTTTATCCACGTTGTAACATGTATCAGAACTCCACTCTTTTGCAGGGCTAAATAGCATTCCATCACGTTTGTATATATATTGCACGCATCTACCACAGTGTCACACAGTGGCAGGGTGGGCCTCGTTTGCTCCTTCTGGGCCTTGTTCCTTTCCCCACCAGGCCTGGCTGGCTCTCTGCAACCGTGTGGGCCACTCAGATTATCAGCAAACGTCCTCCCCAGGAGCATGGTCTCAGATGAGGGGCTTCCGAGTGATTTATTGGCCAGCCCCTGCCCACCCACACACATATATTCACACACGTAATGTGTATGCTCACGTATGTATCTGCAGCATAATGCTGTTTGGCACTTGGCTGTTTTTACTTAATTTATCTTAGAGATCATTCCACATCAGCACGTAGAGAGACCCAACTTTTCTTGCGTCCTGCTGCATACTATTCCACCACATGGTTGTGACATACCTAATGGAGTGAGGCCCCGGGGCCCCTTTGGCTCTGTGACCCTCGGGTGTGGGCCAGCCCTACCAGTGCTTCCACACCCAGCTTGGCCAAGCCCTGAGCCCTGTGCTGGCCTAGAAAGTAAGGTCAAAGATGTCCTCTACGTTGTCCTGGCCTCAAACCTCCCAGGGCCAACACTTTATGTGCCTGTTTTTCTAACACCTGACACAGCATTTGTACTTTGTAGATGTGAAGTAGATGCTTGTTAATCAAATGAATGTAAAAATGAATGGGTACTTTTTGTTCATTGTTTAGGCCTGGCTCAGACACATCTCCTCCAGGAAGCCTTCCCTGCTTACCCTAGGTGGAGTTAGACCCCTCCTCAGAGCCCATAGGCCTCGTAACCTCATCACAGCTCTAAGCTCACTTGTTGTGACTGACAGGTACAGAGTTGGCAGCCACCACATCAGCCTCTATTCCTCCTGGTAGCTCCAGGAGCTGTCAGGACACCTAGCACAGAGTGGTGAATGGATAGCTAATAAGTGGCACACAGTGAGGGAAAGAATGGACAGCCAACTTCATCACTGTCGTCATCAATGCCACATCTAAAGTGTGCCTAATGGTTTTAGGTTCCATAGAGCCTGCAAAGTGGGGAGGTGGATGTGCTCACACCCATTTTACAGATGAGAAAGCTGAGGCTCTGAGAGATTCGGTATCGGCGCTGAGGCCTCAGTGGGGAGTCGGCTGACCCCAGGCTGACCCCAGGCTGACCCCATAGCTCCAGCTCTTCCCCACCCAGAACCTTGTTCCCACCCTCCCCTCAGGGCTGGAGACCAAAGCACAGGAGCAGATCTTGGGGAGCGGGCTGAGGTTCTGGGGGAGAGGAGGGGTGGGGCTGAGGAGATAGGAAACAGCTGCGTGTCCTGCCGCTCTCGGGGGTGCCAGCATGGAGGGTGAGGACCAGTGGGGGGGACAGAGTGAACCTCTGGTGGACTTTCATTTGAACACATACTGCGTAAGCACCATGACTGGGGACCCACCAAGGCCCTTTGACGATGAGAGGAAAGAGGCTGAAGAAAGAGCCATCTGCTGAAGAAGACCCCCCACTCGACCCTCCCAAGGCAGGGACTAGCCACCCCCCGCCAATACCTCCTACTCCTGTCCTTTCCGAGGTTGGGGGCCGCCATGTTGGTCTGGCCACAAAGTTTGGGTTATAATTTGTCCTCTCTCACTGATCTTTGGGGAGAATAGGAGGGAGAAAAGAAGACATTTACTAAGGGGAAACCCCTAAAGGTGTTAGGAGGGCTTCAGTTAAAAGAGGATAAGCCATTGGAAGGCAAGGAGAGCTGGTGGCTGGACAGCGCCCCACACATGTGGATACACTTACGTAATGGGCCCCCACCAGTTGAAGCATTTTTTGTCTTTGCCTACTCAGCCTCCCCTGCCTCTGCTTTACAATAGGGGTTCTGTTTTCTCCAGACTGGTTCCCCATTTTAGGCAGAGTTGGGGAATATGTAAGTGGAAACGGGACCTACAGAGGCAGGAGAACACAAGTGGGGGTGCTCCCCTCACCGCGAGCATCTAGGTTCCAGAGGAGGCCGTGAGACTCAAGCGCAACTGGAGAGAGGAAGCTCTTTTTCGTAACGAAAGCCAAGTCGAGGGGAGAGGAGGGGGCGAGAGGCAAAAACGAAAGCTGGATTTTGGGGTGAGGTCTGGGGTGAATACCTGTGGAGCTCTAGAGTCATGGCAGGAAGTAAGCGAAGCTAGGAGGAGAGCAAGCAG